GCATTACACAAGTATTATCTAGTACCAAGGTCCCTGCCAGACCCTTTTTTCTTAATTCTGCCATCAGCACTTATCACCCAAAAAGTTCTCCTCATTGTGGATGAAGGGGAAACGGGAAACTGTAAGGAGGCAGGCCAGGCATATACAGATAAGGATGCTGAGTGGCTCTCTAAATGCTCTGTTGAACCATAAGTAAAGCAAATTCACTGATGCTGTACATCCAGCCCTGCTCTGTGCAGCCTTTACTAACTGCAGAGAACAGCACCGACCGCAGTGGAACCAGCTGAAGGACACGTGGATTAATAATGGACCTTTAAGGGTGACAATGAGCACTGTGAAACAGTAAAGAAACCAAAACATGAAAACTCAAGACAGGAGATCCTGGTATATGAGATCTGGGGAAATGACACCGCTGGAAATGTTATCTGCAGTGGTGGCTCTGGTGTCAGGGAAAGGCAAACAGGGAGCTGACATGCAGGCGGAGACTGGCAGTCTCTGTTACAGCAGAACTGGCACAGCAAAGCCACTTCAGATCTCTCTAATGGACAAGCAGGGCGGCACTGTGCAGGTTATTCTGGTTCTTTCCTAACTATAATGGATAGTATACAAATTTCTGGTAAGGAATGGGAAATCATCCTGACACCAGAATAAAGCCAGCATAACAAGATTAACTGTTTAGACACATACATCATTACTTCAGCACACTCAGCTTCACGGAATCATAGAGCAGCAAGAGGCCTGCAGATCTCACAGGTATACCTTGGATGAATAAACCGCCTTGCTGTTTGGACAGTCACGTAGAAGAGACACATAGAATTCTGTTGGGATGTCTCCAAAAGCTGGGATTTTGTACATCCCAGGCCCTCGAGTGTACAGGTTCCCTTCAGGAGAATAGCGCAGCTCCTCCATGGTGAAGAGCCCAAGGCCTTGGACGAATGCTCCTTCTATCTACAAACACATCCAAACAAAGTTACATTCTTTTTTTGTTGTTGTTGTTATCGATCCCTGCACAAGAACAAACAGCAATGATTTCCACCAGAGTTTTCAGCCCTCCCTTCCTGCTAATTTCCCACTCTTCATCTCTAAACCCTTGTCCCTTCTGCTGAGTACAGCTTGGCACCTTTGCACAATTCTGGTGTTTCCATTTAGATGTGGTTGCATTTCCCTGTCAGGTGAAGCAATTTACAAATACACGCAAACAGATATGCTGTAAATACAGAACATGAATTTTCTGATGAAGCAAAAAAAAAAATCAATGCCAAAATATCGATCTTCACAGGCAGATTAACACTGAATGAGTTGTACTTGCTGATAATTCAAAGACAAGAAGAGTAAAAGGACTGAAGAAAACAAATCTGAAGACAAACTATTTTACACTTTCTATTTCAGTATAAATGCTTTCCTATATACTGCATATTCTCAGGTCACCAGCACAGACACTGGCAAAAACACTCCCACATCCATTCAAGTACTAAAGACTTCTTTGCATAACTTTTCTACTGTAAATTTTAGGAGAAAAAAAATACATTAAAAAAAAAGAAAGGGAGCAGCTATGAGAGAAGGATGCGTTTGAACAACCCTACATGAAGAAGCTCTGCTCTCTGTACCCACAGAGATATCGGACAGGCAGACCAGTCTAAAGATTTGGCACAACCATTCATTATCTTAGAATCATAGAATCATAGAATGTTTAGGGTTGGAAGGGACCACTAGTGGTCATCTAGTCCAACCCCCCTGCAGTGAGCAGGGACACTGCTAACTAGATCAGGTTGCTCAGAGCCCCATCCAACCTGGCCTTGAATGTTCCCAGGGATGGGGCCTCCACTACCTCTCTGGGCATATACTCTTAGCTCCATATACTTGTGTTCCTGCAGTCATACAACATCCTTTCTCTCCTGTGCCCCCAGATCCTCTGCAGAAATTCATGGAAGGACACAGGAAACTGAGATCTCTCTGCCAGGCTCTGTGTAGCCCATCTCTTTACTCTCAGACCCAAACTGACAGGCTGAGAAGACAGAAAGGCTCCTTTTTCCCTTGGCCACTTCCAAGAAAAATCTCTTTCAGAAAAAAATGTCACTTTTAAAGTTTCATTTTAACTATAGTAGAGCTCTGCAACTCATGCTTTCCTGTAAGCCCCAAATCCTGCAGCAGTTTGACTGGAGTTCCACTATACGAATATCTAGAGTTAGCAGGGGAGCTATAGCAAACAACCCTGTGTTTATTACCTTTAATTGCTGAGAGGTATCACTGTGATAATTGCTGCAAAAAATATGGAAGTAAGCTTGTCCCTGCCCAAGGAATTTGCAAGCTAAGTGACTGGTCCAACTTTCTCTTGAGATCCCTTCACAGCAATAGCTGGAGGACATAATCTACCACCCTAACTCTTTATTCACAGAAAAATTTTCACTGAATTAAATTGGACTTGATATTGACAGATAGGAGTATAAAAATCAGGTGTGGGATTTAGTCTCACATACCACATTGTGGAAACTAAGCCTTGGGATGAGGTTATTCCATCATATCTGGATTCATTCCTTAGGCAAGACATGCTGAAAAGCATCAGTGTGGTGGTAACTGGAGAATATCCTTCAGTCTTAATATCCAAGGCAAAAAAAAAACCCCAACAGGATATTTCCCTGCATAATTCTGTGCCTGTTGCATAGTTAAGTGTAGGTCAAACTGGTTTTCACAGCTAGCCTAAAATGGCTCTCTGGATAGCCAAGTTTAAAATGCTCTGTTTGCAAAGGCACAACCTAGAGAGGGACAATGGCTCATCTAGAAAAGCTTGAGAGTAGAATGAACACTTTAACATGGAAATAGCGACACTGTTCCACTTACCTGTCCTATATCTATGGCTGGGTTCAGACTGGTGCCAACATCCATAACAATGTCTGTGCGAATGTTCTAAAAGGCAGAAATAAAGAATAAATCAGCACAGAAGATTGAAACTGGTACACCATGGTCTTGGTATGAGGAGGAATAATGTATCCAACCACTACCCACACTTGGCCAGGGTTCAACAATCTATCTCAGCTCAACTCTTCAGGCTGCCTTTTAATTGGAGTTCATCCCTAAAGTAAATCACAGGAACTCACTGCAGTTTTCCCCAGAGATCCAATGGACTCAGTCTATACTAGTTCCAAGCTGCCAGCATCAGTGCTTTGTACCCGAGTGTAAGCAAGTAGGTCACATTCTGATGATTTTTTTTTCTTTTTTCTTTCTTTCTAAAAGTCTTCAGTGCTATTTTTAATGATTAACTCAATTCCAGTATGTTTCTGTTCTTTTGTGCTAACACAGTGCTGCCATCTCTTACTTAAGCAAATCCAATAACTTTTGCAATCATTCATTAAGCCTCCTAATATCCCCGCAGGGTAGATAATTATCGTTTTATTATACTTTACGGATTGTTGCACTGTGGAACAGAGGAGTTAAGAAATTTCCTGAAGGTCACACCAGACCAATGACAGAGCTAGGAACAGGCTGACACCCCGTATTTGTTCTAACTCCCTGTGAATGTTTCCTTCACCTAAACACAGAGGGCTATTTCACTGCTGACCCCCTCACCTTGTGGTCACCTGTCAGGCAATCTATCTCAACCTCGGAGCAAGCAACACCATAACTGAAGTAGCAGAATGGTTTCCCTTCGTTCTTTTCAAAGTCGTAGCCAAGGTCAGGAATTCTTGATACAAAGAAAAACAAAACAACATTTCATTGCATGAACAGTCAAAATGAATACAAACACATTTGCAACTTATCAAAATCCTTATTCACTTCTGTTTCATCCCTTCCGTCAAGCCCATGCAGAAATGAAATGTATAAACAACTATAAATAGAAATCTGCTAAGCTGCTCTGTACTCCAAAATCTGGCTGAAACTATCAAACTAGTTTAGCCATCTTTATTTTCCCATGAATCTCAGGGCTTGTGATGACTATTATGAACTCATTCCCACCAATACAGTAGCAAATCTTTTGCTTTTAGAATGCAGGTGAACATTTCTTGGAGGTCATTAAATTTCAGAGCATAATTGAGTTGAACCAGAAACTGGATTAAGCTAAGAACTGATTTTAAGCACAGTCCATGGCAAACTTTGTATCTGGCTACTTATACTTTATCTGAAAACTTGTTTAATAAAATGTTAACAAATCACTTGGTTAAGTGAAAAAACACATTTTAGAGATGCAACAGAAATGAGCTCATATTGTATTTTAGTCCTAAATAGGCTCTTCTTAACACTGTGTTTATTTTTTTTATGTCAGCCCTCTGCCTCAAAGATGATGGATCTCTGTTTTCCTCCAGCAGTAAAGCTGACTGAGAAAAGTACCTCATTTCAGAACTGCACAGGAACCAGCAAGAGTTTAAAGTGGGAGAATGAAACTGAAAACACTGGTACCTCCTCAAGCCACAACAGACAGGATACCACTCCAGCCAATTGCCATAAGTAGCTTTGTCCCAGCAACAACTCCTGCCCCCTTTTTCCCTGCATGATGGTTCCAGTGCAACACTAAGTCACGAGGTTGACACAGAGCAGAGCCCCAGGCAAAGCTCTGATTTCATTTATGCCTCCTCAGACCTAGGTCAGCTAGAGTGAAGTCAGATCTACTTCAGATTTACATGAGATCTAAACTTGGCCCCAAGAGCTGTGCTCCATCAGGAACAGATTCTCCCCAGCCAGGAGTGTTAAACTCAGCTTAACATTTCCAGGTAGGAAAGGGAATGCAGCCTTAAGGTAGAGCAGTGACAGTGGGATAGGGGCTGTAAATCCTCCCAGAACTCCCCTGGATACAACCCATGCAACTGAGTAAGAGCTGTACCTCTGCAGTGTGAATGTTCACTCACCTATAAAACCCCGTGGCCGACAGGCTAACACAGTTCTCATAGGCAGCTTTAATCTGGCAAAATGAACAAGAGTTTGAAAACAGTAATTGTCCAACCAGTCCCTGAAAAATAGCTCCCCCAAACACATTTCCAGGAGATTAGGAATAGAAAGTGTCCAGTGACAGACAGCTGTCACACTACCCAGCACCAGCAGTGCCAAGGGAAACACCATGATGCAGCTGCTCCCCAAACAGCCCCTTCATCAGCTACCAAGGGCAGAACTTGCCCATTGGCAGAGGGACTGTTTGTTCAGCTCTCAGCTACAGGTCAGACTTCCCACCTCAGAAACAAAGGTTAAACTGACAGTCATCTTGACTTCAGTGAGGCCAGGGGAAAGCCTATCTGACTTCCAAATCACAAAGTCAAAGCTCCTCCCATGAAGAGAAGAGCTTGGATCAGAAAATGGCCTAAGAGCCTTGCAGCACGCCAATCTCTTATTATTGAGCGTACAGCGATATTGCAGCCAAGGAGCACTACAGGAGGTGGATGGCAGCTCAACACAGAATTGTCACAGAATCCCTTCACTACAAATCAGGTTTCTTCCTGTCCAAGACTGTGGCCTGACTAAAAAGGTATATGTAACCACTGAAGACTTAACTGGGCAAGTTTGTCATAGGCAGGCCCCAGGATCTGGAGAAATCTCAGTATTAAAGTCATAACTGATGTTTTGGGGGTGACCTCTTGCAAGCTTTGGTTACTTCCCTTGCACAGTTTCTGTTTCCCTGGCTTTGCTAAACCCTTATGCTACCTGCATACAGGGTTTGCAAGTAAAACAACCTCTTACAATGCCCACTTGTCTCACGACAGATACAAACAGCTTACCCAGTCTTCCCAGGATCCTTTGGGATTAGACTGTTTGATCGGCTCAAGTCTTTTTAAGATAGTCTCACACGCATTCTAGAAACAAAGAGAGAGAGAAGCAATATTTTAAGATTAAGAGCCCTATAAGAGTTTCAAAGAACCTTCTGTTTAAATCAATATTGCCTTTAGGACTTTGGCATATCATAAAAAGGAACAAAGTTCACTAACAGATGTCTTGCTATACAGAAAGAAATGTCAACTGAAAAGGATTTTAAAGCATATTGGCTGTGCTGATAGCAGAATAGAATCCCAAATACAGCACAGAACTTTCCAGACCATGATACAAAATACCAGAAGTTCACCCATTTGTACAGTAACTTTATCTATACCAAGTCATAGCAGGACATCTTAGCATATCTAGCAAGATGATCCTATAGCACTGAAAAAAGAAATATTCTTGCCAAAACTCAACCTACTCAGATAAGCTGTGAAGCGGATAAAAACAGCCTGATGATTTTACTTTACAGGTTACACTTCCCCTTTTCTTTAAACCTGAGAATGACCAGTACTAAATTCCTCCTTTCGATGGAAAAGTCACATGCCCTGCAAATATATGCACTAGTAACTCCACAATCATGACCAGACCATTGCTACGGAAGGATGTTTGCTCTGAGTGTATCAACACTTACAGGTCTGTTTCTGGAGCACAGCCCACAAACCATCTGCTATTAGTATTTGCAGCACAATATATTGTTATAGGTAAGGCCACATTAATTACTAAGGACCTAGCTATCTAAATGGATGCTTTGTTGTGTTCATTTTTAGTAACCACAAATACTCCATTTTATAACTACAAAAGGACTGAAGGAGAGTTTTGAACAACTTGAAAAAAGTACGGTCTTTCATGATCTAACACTGTCAGTAGTTATAGCAGGTAAAGTTATGAGGTATCCTTAGCGTGGAATTGCCCTTTGATGGTTATGTTTTCCTTAAGCAGTAGATAAATACACATCAACTTTTCATGTTCTGGAGTCTTAGCTTATAACCCACTATTTTAAACAACTCAGTTTCCGTACATGGACAGCCATTCCATTGATGTCTGCACTGACAGACGCAGCTGTTGGGGAGGTGTTTGGCACGGTGTTTGTGCTGGTCTCACTGATGAAAATTTTGGAGGTGGGGATTCCCAGTGACCTGCTAGCAACCTGCAGAGCAAAGGCAGACAATTGGTAAACAGCTCTTCTTACACATGAGCATTATCATTCATTGCTTACACTGCTAGGATCCACACAGCAACCTCTACCCTTCCCCGTCCTAAATTTCATTTTTCTTGAAGGCTCAGTTGATTCAGTGACTGAGAGCTAGCCAGAAGATTGCTAAGTTTGCCCTTCACAGGCTGAATGTGTGTGAGCACGTACACATAACACTTTTGCCGCAATGACAGACATTCACTTCACTATTGTGAGACTAAATTCTTCTCTCAACAATTATAAGAATCAGAGGATAAAGAGCCCTATTAGGTTTCCCTTTCATTTCCCTGCCAAAGCAATGTTGCTCCCTTAGGCCTTTTTAACTACAAAGGCGTTAGCGTAGGCAGATAAATGTGTTTGCAATACGACTAATTTTTGTATAAAATATATGTAAACTGTAGTTTTATGGGATGAAAATAAATTGCCAGAGAAGCTAGATTGTAAGCATAACCTGCATTATCTACATAATAAGAGTTAAGATGATGAAGAATCTAATTCTCATACTCAATTGCGGTAATACTCTGGAAATCTAGCACTGCTGCTGAAACAATTAAGAGGAATTAGTCATGATTTGTTACCCTACGCATGCACACAGAGGAAGTGTCAAGCTGTCTGAGGCAATACTATATAGAGTGTAATTTTCCTGAAAAAATGACTCATTCAGTTAAGTCCAAACTCATTATTACCTGAATCATTTTGGTGTGAAGTCCTTGGCCCATCTCAGTCCCCCCATGCGTAAGTAACACAGAGCCATCTGTATACACATGGATCAGAGCTCCAGCCTATAAAAGGGAACATTGATCCAAGAGTCATCATAAATGAACTAGCGAAGTTCCTAGCAGATTTCAGTTACAAACGTACAGAGAAAATTAATTTGGAACTAGATCAATGTTGTTCTTCAGTGTAATTAAAGCCACGAGTTTACACCTAAGGCGAGTTTGATTTAGTCTCACCAACTCACTAGAAGTTCCAATGACATAACAAACCTCAGTCAGTATTTTCAGCTCAGAAAGCAGGTGAAGTAACCCAAACCTGTCCCTGTGAAAGAGAGATGCACCCTTCACCTGAACTTGCTAACACCACTGACAGTCCATTAAAACAGATCAAACAGAGGACCGGTGTTTTGACTGTTGAGGAGGAGGGAATAGGCAGGGAAATTAACATAACACAATACCATGGAAACATAGCTGCATTGTGGTGTGGACAGTATAAACTGGTAACTGTTGTGTTGCTCGTTTTGGTTTGAGAAACTGTGTGCTCTTTCTTAACTAATTTACCACTTCCCTGAAAAGCTCCAGAGTTTGCACAAATGGAGAAGGCAGCATAAAACTAGCTTTTCTACTGAAAAGATGAATGACACTTACGGACCTGGTTCAGAAATGGGACAGTGAAACTGATGCCAAATTTGGTAGGAATGATGCACATCCCTCTCTTCTTCCAGCGATTCTGCCTGCAAGGAAAGAGCATTATTTTTACACTCGTGAGGCTTTCATCGCAACTCAGTACTATGCTTCCTTCCCACAGCTTGGATATCAAAGAAGAAATGAAATACCTGAATGCAGTATAGACTGAGTTAATCACTAATTTTTTTTATGAAAGATTGGCTTCATTTATGGGTTCCAACAAGAAGAAATCTGAACTGAAGATGTTCCCCAAGGGATACTAGAAGCAATTGTCCAGACTATTAACTATTCAGTTGCATATACAAGCCAACTAAAAAAGACTATACAGCAGTGGAAGCCTAAACAAGTTGCCTTGATAGCCATTTGAAAAGCCTACCTGGACTTAACAGGACCCCTCTCCTTTGCTACATTTCCCTTAGAAAATCATGTCATGCTAGGTCTGATTCCTGCCTTATTTAAGCTACCAGCTCACTGACAGAGGTTTCTTCCCAAAGTGAGCATGAAGGAATTTCAAAAGGAGAAATGTTTAGAAGTCACTCTTCAAATACAAGGTCTGGCTTCACATCACTCAAGTTGCTAAGAGAACTTCAGAAGTCAGTAGGCAACAGGTGCACCCAGTAACAAGACAGCTCCAGAACACCTACTTGTTGAATTCTTCAATTAGTTTCTTCCTGGCATGATAGCTGGAGCTTGACAAACATTCATCCCAGCATCTTCGTAGAGTAAATCCCTCCAGCTTTTGGTTAAAATGAGTCAGGTCTCCTTCATTATAAAGGTTGAGCTTCCGCACCTTCCAAGAGAGACATATAAAGGACACGCCTAGTTTAATACTTCAGACTGGGTCATTTTAATGGATGACATCAAAAGCATGTTGGTTCCTAGTTTTACTCCTCTGCTCACTCTACAGAACAATAGAACTAACAGACATGTATCTGTTTATTGGAAAATGGGGACTAAGACATTAAGGCTAGGAACTTTCAAGGGAGATGGGGACTTAAGCACATTGTAGTAAGATGAAGGTACTTAGTGCCTTTGGACTTTTTTTTTTTTAATATCTATCCTTAAAGCAGGTGTTACACAACTCAGGCTACTGAAAGAATTTAATGAGCCAGAAGATAATCCATGCTATAATGTGGCTGTCATACAGAAAGTTTGAGATCCTGCTAAGGGCTTAGCAAAAACGAAGCAAAAGTTCTTATGCTTAATAACTTTCTGTGGTTCTGTCCAGTTCTCAGAGCTTGCTCAAAGGCAGCACCACCCTGAAATGTGTCAGTGGATCTGTACCTCCTCAGGTGGCAGGCCACACTTCCGAGCAAGGTCGTTCATCCAGCACTCAGCAATCATCATTCCCTGGGGCCCTCCAAAGCCACGAAAGGCTGTGTTGGAAGGCAAGTTGGTCTTGCAAATAAAGCCCATGCTGCTGACATTGGGGATGTTGTAGGAGTTATCCAAATGTAACAGGGCTCTGTCGATAACCTGGTGAAGGAATGGGGGTAGATATATTTTATATGAATTACATGTCAGATTTCTCACTAGCTGCCAAAAAGCTTCGAAGCTAATTTACAACAACCAGCACTTTCTCTTTCACCCTGCAGTTCTGCAGTCAACACAGCTGGATGAGCACTGAGATGCAGCCAGTACTCCCTCCCATTTGCAATGGAGTGTCAAGCGGTATCCTCCTGATAGGACCATAAGTACACTTCTCTGTTGATACTTATAACTCTGGGACAGATTGAGCTTCAAAGTCCTTTGTTGGCCCTGGACTCATGCTGAGCCAAACTGCTACTAAATGCCATTACCCACCTTAAAGAACCAGAATCTTCTTTTAATTATACTGAGAAATCTGTTACTGGAAAAGAAGTCTTGCTGATATCAAATGACTTAGCAGCTGGGCTATGGCAGTAAGGGCACTATATGAAACAAAGATTTTTCAGTAGCTACATCTAAACTGCAGGATTTGATATTTTTGTCCACTACTTGTCCAAACTGGGAAAGGGCCAGAGCTTCTTCCTGGCTTGTGTTCCCAGATTTCCCTTCCAGCAGCAGTACAGAGAGGAGATTAAGCACATCCCAAACTTATTTCAACATGAAGGGCTTTCCAGTCCCCTGATTCAGACACAGTCAAAAAGACAATTCACATAGATGTGCTCTCAACCAGGCCCTTAATTTATGCAAAGATATTTGCCTGCCATTCTGCTCTGCACAGCACCAACCACATAGCTAGCATCGAATGGGGCTTTTGCAGAGAGGTCTTGCAGTTCTCTCCCACAGAAATGGATTCACTTTTTGCAGAAAACTACCAAAGACTTAGTGGACTAGAGAAAGGGAGTTAGAATAAACATGACTGACACTAGGCTATTGGGTTGGTCACTCACATGACAGAAAAGGAGAGTTTTTTACTCATCAGTACAAAAATTCTTGGAGACAAACTCAGACCTCAGCCCATTCTTGTCCTTAGTGCTTGTGAACCCAATGTTAGCTTTAGCCAGCCCTTAACAAGCTTGCTGATTTAGGCACTCTGTCCTCATCAGCCTATTGACTTGGATATTTCTCATTCCAAGAAACTAGCTTTTCCCAAAGCTGGGGAACTATCAGTCATCTTGCATTGTGCAACAAGTTTCCCATCACAGCCCTCTGTAATGCAAAGCAAACTTTCTTGACCCTTTTGCCTAATCCAAGTTATTACAGCATCTGTAAGAACTATGTGGCACATGCCAAGGCAGGTCAGTTGGCTCAGAGAGCAGTTGTAGAAGCTCCAAAAACCCATCAAGGTCTGTTTTCAGTCATGCCAGAGAGCAAGATGTGCAAGCAATGCTGTAGACAACAACTCTCTGAAGTCAGAGCAAAAGGTTGCACAGTTAACCATCAGAAAGTTTTACTTACACCATAAGAGAGGTCTACAGAGTTGCCCCCATTGCTGTAGTATGACACCTCCAGACTCTTAAGTTTCCCATTCTTCATGAAACCAACCTGTCAAGAGAGTCTGCTCAGTAATTGGTTCTCTACAAAATGTTCTGTGTCATGCTTCCCTCCAAAAACTGAATGGACCTCATACAGGCAAAAGGCTGACAGTCCTCTGCTGCAGCACAGGCAGCAACTGAGGAAGCTTCCCAGTAAAGGGTCCATGTATGCATCTTAACCTTGCTGCAAAGCCAGACTCTTTGCAGTGGTGCCCAGCGACAGGACAAGGGGCAATGGGCACAAACTGAAGTATAAAAGGTTTCAGTTGAATATGAGGAAAAACTTCTTTACTTTGAGGGTGACAGAGCACTGGAACAGGCTGCCCCGGGGGGTTGTGGAGTCTCCTTCTCTGAAGATATTCAAAGCCCACCTGGACAAAGTCCTGTGTAACATGCTCTAGGAGAACCTGCTTTAGCAGGAGGGTTGGACTAGGTGATCTCTGGAGGTCCCTTCCCAACCCTTGCCATTCTGTGATTCTGTGAACTCTTCTAAAATAAGTGTTGGCCACTTGTCACAGCCACACCTTCCTTAACAGGTTTTTGCTTTGAAAAGCAGAAGCAGTTGGATGGGGATTGAAGAGGAAAGGAAGTTAACAAAACAAACAGTAGTACAATACTATAAACAAATGGGGAAGCATCTAAGAGCAATATGATTGTCAACAGAGGCAAAGTCTGGGTTGCAAGGAAGAGGGAAGTATTTATGCTGAGGTCACAAGAAGGGAACTATCCGAGCCAAAAGAACTTTTGCAGGACTTAAACAGGAAAAATACTGTAACCCAGACGACCTGATCCATTTGCAGCAGAGGAGATCAGTGGTGAAACAACCTGAGCAGCAATCCTTTCACAGTATCTTACTACTCTCTGATGTTTCAGGTGACAACACTGAGACAACATGCATTCATTTCATATGTATGCATACCTTGTACCTCCCCAGGAAAGGATGTCTCCCACCACTTATCAGCATGTCCTCATCTCGATCCAGCATGCACCTTACTGGGCGGCCAGTTCTGTTAAAGGATACATTTAGCAGGCAAAGCTTGAAACACACAATACAGTTCCTACCAAGCAAGACTACCCTCTCTTTGGGGAGCACTGTCTTTCCAGAGTGCTAATGGGGAGTTAGGGGTAAACTGCTTGGTTGATATATCTTCGTCTTAAGAAAATGGCAAAATTGAGTAAAAAACAAATCAAAAAAACCCCCACAACTCAGAAGTTGGGACCTGCTCATGAAAACTCTTGTGGAGACTCTTATATTTAAGGGGGTTCGAGTAGGTGACCTCTAAAGGTCCCTTCCAGCCCAAAACACTATGATTCTATGATATTTAAAAAGATAGTTTCTAGAGACAGATGCTAATAACTGAGCAATCACTGTTTTCCAGACTATTTCTCAAGGCACTCTCTTGGCTTTGCAAGAGAGAGTGCGATACGAATTATATAATAATGCTAAGTAAAGCATTAACTAGCCTTCAATTTGACCTTGTTTTTTATTTGCTTGTTATCCAAGGAGGAAAACAACGAGGAAAGGAGGCGTTGCTCTTCATTTTCTAACAGTTCTGCCTTTCTAGTGCCTCTCTTCGGGTTGTAAAAATATCTAGGGAATGCCATAGATGTTATTTCATAACCTCTGGGATACAAAACAGTAATTTGGCTTGCAGAGATAAAGGAAAGAAAAAAATGCACATGCATTACTGATTAATTAGAGAAAGCGGTTGGTTTGCTCAGAACGGAAAAATAGAGCTGATTTAAGTACAGGGGCTTCATTTTGGCTGTTCTCTTCCAAAGGTATTTTATCAAATTGCTGCTGTGTTGCAAGATCCATCTAGCATTGCCAGTGGGGCACATCCTCACCCACAAGGGCAGTGTTACACACAGTGCACAAATGTCTTCTCAAAGGCCATGTTCACTCACAACCACAGAAACTTGCACAGTTAAAGATGAGCCCATATCAAAACTCCAGAAACCAGAAGCACATTTCCAATCTACACTTCACAAATGGTTACAATCTAAGTTCACTCCCTGAGCTTTTAGGGGTTTCAAAATTGTGCATTTCTGTTCAGTGGCCTGCTAACCCTTCCTACAGAAAAACCCAGAGAGAGTCTGCAGAAGAGCAGCAAAACAGTGGTGTAAGGCTGGTGTGGTAGAGTTTTGAGCAAGGAAGAGACTCTCATACCTCTATTATACAAAACAAGAAGCATGGCTAGTGTTGGATTTTGAAAGGGTTTGGGGTGAAGTGAAGGGGACAGGATGATAATTTGAGATACAAGAGTTTTCAGAAAGCGGACAAGGAAGAGCAGAGTTTTTTTCCCCCTCTTAATCGGCTGTTAAAAGCCGACATTCCTGCATAAGCTTAGCCCCTCTGAGCAGGTTCAATTCCTCCTACCAGGTAAGAGCCCATTAGACACCTCCTTTGGGAAATCCCACTATGTGCAGTAATGTACAGTAACAAGACGTGAAGAGTCTTGAAATTGCTCCAGTGCCAGTAGCGCTTCAGAAAGAGGCAGGCTGGGACATTCTGAAAGGGAAAAGCCCTGTTCCCCACGCCCAAACTTACTTGAAGGCTGCAACAGCCACTACAGTTGTCAAAATAGTATTCCTAGTCTCTTTTCCTCCAAATCCTCCTCCCAGTCTTTTCACTCGAACCACAATCCGATTTGAAGGGACTCCCAATGCATTAGCAGCAAACTCCTAAATTAAAACAGAACAGCAGAACATGTACAGAGTTTGAGCTGGTGTTGAGAACTAGATACCAACACACTGCCTTTCTGAAACCACTGCAACAGTGCAAATGCTTTGTTATATTGCAGGTCCTATTGGTCCTGTAATTGGATTTTGATTGGAACCAATAAGCCCAGTATTTCATCTCTGAGGTGGGAAGGTACACTGCTTCAGCAGACGGCACCAGATTCAGAAAGAGGCTGACAAGAGATGAGGTTACCAAGACACAGGTCTTATTTAGGACAGGGTTTGATACCCGTACCACTCTGTCCATTCTCCTCACTCATTATGAGACCTTTGGACAGTCTTGGTGAGTCAGTAAACAAGCCAAAGACACCCCATAGTGCCAGTTGCCTATCTCACAAGGTGGCAGAGTTGGTATATATAGTCAGTGTTTACACTGCCTCCCTTTCTGATATGTCATTCAACAGCCATGCCTACTGACCAGCTGGGACCCCCTCCAGAAAGTGTTATGGGTATAATCCCTGGCGACAAAGATGTGCTGCCAACAGAAACATGTCTGTCACCTGGAATTGGATTCAGGACACCAGTAGGATGGATATGGACTTTAGATCTCATACCCAACTCTAAGCCTATGTGGTTTTTTTATTTAAGACAAAACAGGACCAACTGTAAGACAACCATTTACCTACTCCGAAACTGAGACACAAATGCCTTTTAGGTAGCAGGTCAATGAGACAGTACCTGTGTCTTCATTAGGTTTTGGGTCGACACAAAGAGTTCCATCTCGCCATCTTCCCCCTTTGGTACAGCCACAGTACAGTGAGTTTCCAGATAGAAATGCTCCTGTCCACCAAGGTACATCTCTCCTAGAAAATTGAAAGAAAAGCCCAAAAGATAGGGTGTCCCTGGTGTTATAAGGTGTCTCCCATCATGTGCTGCCTGCAAACTACTGCCCTTTTGACATGTGTTAAATGACAATCCTTTGCACTGCCCAGCACTGGATATCCCTAGCTCCAAAACTGACAATTCTGGCTCAACGTTTAAAAAAACCAAACCAAACCAGACACGCACCCTTCTCCACTTTCTAGAAATCTTCAGTCCAAAACACAAGTGGCTGGCATTTCAAAAATAAGCCTGCATACCATGCCGTTGACACAGCATCCCTTAAGATGCAGTGTTTGCTGCCTTTCAGACTGCCCTGATAACACCCCTGAGATGAAGGATAAAAATAAATCAAGTATAGTCTAGCTGAGCAGGTCAAAAACAAGGTTACAGACTTTGAAACAGGGAAGCGAAAATAGAAATCCAAAACGCCTTAAGAAGATCTAACTGGGAATCAACTCTCTGCCACTGCATGTGGCTCTTTCCCAGGACATCTTACCTGGCAGTGCTGAGGGTACAATTTCCAGTCTTGCTACCCACTATTAAATGTCAGAAACAACCTGCTTTCTCAGTCATGGCCCTGGTCTATTCAGCTGCCATGAAAACTAATATTCAGAGCAGTTCTCAAAATCCTGTTCCTCTCTTCCTTTTATTCAATTCAGCAACAACAAAATAGCTGCCTGCATTAAGTACATCAGTGAGAAATGCACATTTGTGTGAAACAACGCCTACCCTGGTACACAGCAAGGGCTTTTCTCTTGTCTCTGCGAGGAGGCTGGCCTGGCATTCACACAGTATTGCAGCCTTTTAACTAACCTATTCTTCTAGCTCAGAACAATTTCTGCCTTGCCTGGCACAGTGTTTTCATTTTGTACAGTATAGTATGCTATAAGAAACAGTTAACAACAGCTTATGACAGCTTTGAAGCATTAGCACCAATTGCTGACTGCAGAGGAAAGTTTCAGCAATGCATACAAAAATACAACAAATGACAGACCTGGAAATGGGTATTTCAGTTAAGTAACTCTCCCTTCCCCCCATGGGGAGGTAAGGGGGGCATACTTCTCTGTGATCTTCAAGAATAATCCCTTCAAACCAGGCTTTGTTTCTGTAACTAGTTTAACTTCCCTCTTCACATCTGTAAGAGGGATAACAACCCCTCTTATCAAGAAATACATGGTTCTCCAAAGGTGTGATGTTTGAGACTCTTCCTCTCAGAAGCTATCGATCGGTGGTACATACACCAAGCAGTGACAGGGGTCTGACAGAGTATTCCATGGAGTTCACAGCTCTGGCACTCTCCCCTCCTAACTCATAGAGGGTTTAAACAGTTGTTGATTAATTGCTATGTTTAGCCATGTCTCTACCACCTGCTTGGCAGACTCCAACTGAATGAAACCAAGAAGCACACCAAAAAACCCCTTCCTCAAAGACAGATCAACAATCAATGCTAAGAAAGTGTTACAGGGCAGTGCCACGTTCTTCATGATACCTACAGCCACCAATGTTGGTGGATCAGGTTTTCAGATGCATGCATGACCCATTTTCATATGACAGAGTCATATACCAGGTTAAAGAAAATGGATTGTGTATAAGATTCAGACCATTACATTGGAAGAGAGTGTTTACAGTGGCACAGCTTGGAGAATCCAAGTCTGTTTGAAACTGAAATGAAATCTTTCATCAGCTATTTGTATATACACAGCTAGCTGAAACTTAATATGAAATTAATTTAGCCCTGGCAAGCCCTGCTTTCTTAAGTTCAGTATCATATGCATAAAAAGGAAGCTGATAGCCTGACCTCTTTTGTCACAAACTATGCTATTTTAAAAATAATATTAGTGCTTATTCTCACCTTCCAAAATGTGATCAGATTCTTCAAATCCTTTCTTCACATCTCCCTTATTAATCCTCTTTATAGGCTTATAAAAGGATTGTTTCTCAATAGCTTCCTAGGAAACATAATGACACAACTAAATCTTTGTGGAAGTGGGGTGAAAACAAAGCTTCCTCTGACTGAAGAAGAAATATCGAAGCTAGAAAGGACAAGAACTTATCAGACACTAACTATGGTAATAGCCAAGTGACTTGTCTCAAAGCAGTGCAAAATTTTTTGCAACAGCAATTTCACGATAAACAACATAAACGGATAATCTTAAGATTGCTCCCTGGTGACCCATTTTACATTACGGACCCAGAACCTCAAGGTCTGTAGCCACCGGAGCTATGACTTACAACTTATGTTAACTATAGTCTGTGGCCCAGAAAGGGGGCAAAAGAAAAAAAAAGAGAGAGAGAGAAAAAGAAGAGAGACAGAAAGCAAAAACTAAATCTCTCAGATAGGATAAGAACTTCTGCAGAAATAGTTTACTTCTGAGCTAACATATAGTAAACTTTCTTGAGGAAGTTTTACAAACACATTTCAGTTTTGCCAAAACTGAAGCTTTCCATAATGAAAAAAACCCCCAACCACAGAATGATCAAATAACAACAACAAAAAAAAAAAACCAGCACATTTTTGGCTCCAGCCTCATCTTCCCTGGTTGAATAAATAATTAGAAGCCTCAGAAAAGGAGAAGTTCTCACATGGTGTTTGTGAAATCACAAACTGTACAAACAAACCAAAACCTCCATCCACAGATGACAGTACCAATGTCTGTACTAGACAATGCGCAGACTCTTTGTATTTGCATAAATATAATTCACATTACAAAACACAGGGTATGAAATACTGACCATTAAAAAAAATTAATTTGAATCCCATGGTTCCAATTTCTCCCCAATAAGAATGGCTTCATACATTTTTCCTCATTTCTAGTTGTGAATGCTGTATTAGATATTATCATTTGCTTTTAATGTCACATAAGGAAATCTTGCCAACAAGCCTTCTAGCTAAAAAAAAAAGCTTTAAATGATCACAAATTGTTGACATTAATTTCTTCAGCTTTGAGAAAAAACACCTAAGGGCTGTGCCCATACAGTCAGTGGAAATGTTCACAGTGGAGAGTGAATTCCTGAAAATTAATTTCATCAGCTTCGAAACTCGACAAGTGGTCTGCAGAAGCCTCAGAGAAGCAGTGCAGTGACAGAGCTCGAAGAGACGTTTTCACACCCTGTTATTGAGTGTTATAAATAAGAGAATGAAGAATGAATAAATACCAATGAAGCCAACAGGATCATAACCAGAGAATACCGAAAGCAAGCACCTGTGGGTTAGAGTAACTGACAGTAACCTTGATAATTTAAACAAATTTGTGCTGAGCACAATATATCTACCAGAGTTTGGTTTATTTGTTTCAGCTTTAAGCAACACAGAAAAGTTAATGGACTCCCAATCAGTACCACAAAGGTGTGTCCTCTTTATATTTAAATATACAAATTAATCCTTCTATCCATAGCCTGTTTAACCCACAAAGACTAACAAAGCATGTGGCTAAACAACCACATGTGCGAGAACAGAAGTTAACTAGACATCAGGGGGTAGACCTGATGTCTAGTAGCAGTAGACCCGAGCCATCTTACCTGAATTGTGACAATAGGTTTGAGCTCTTCATACTTAATCTTCACAGTTTTAGCCGCTCTTCTGGAATGTTCTTGTGTGTCTGCAATAACTGCACCGATGATATGACCAACACAAGTGACCTACAGGCAAGATTAGCACCCACTATCATTTGGTGTGTATATATGCAGTAGCTGAGAGGCTCACAATAATTCTCTTCATCTATTCCTTTTGTGCAGTTTTTCATCTGTCTGTTCAAGACCTGTCTATTTAAAACCAGCCAAGGGAAAACGATCACAACTTCGGACAATAAGCGAGTGAGTGAGCCTGACCCAGTGACCTGCAGCTTAGAAGTGAATAGTGCAAATAGAGAGCAGAGGGACACGGGGCAAAGGGACTCAGGCCTTATTGAATGTGGCATCAAGATTTCTATTGACTCCAGTGCAGTTAGGATTTATCTCTGTATAAGGTAGAGGAATGCACTGGACAATCTGAGAAATCTTATCTCCTGAGCAGTGTGATTGGAAAAGGCTATTTTTAACAACATACCACATCCTCAGCAAAGACAGTCTCATCATTAGCGATGCCAGTGATGTTACTGCCAGGAATATCCTTGGCGGAGAGAAAACACACAAAGCCGGGAACACTCTGGGCTTCAGATGCATCTACAGAACTGAAGAAATAAAGGAGGAGAGGCCATGTTATTATTTCTCATTTTTCTTTTTTTGTCAGTGCTTATGAGGTACCAATACATTTTCAGGCCTGATTCCCTGAAGTCTGGCTACGCAGAAGAGAAGGAGTTTGTCACATGAATATCGTGTGAGACAAAGGAGGAAAAGGCAACATATTAGGCTAAAATCATTTGGGATCTATGCAATAATCTGAATCCTGACTGTGAGTCTGATCACCAGTCTGCTTCTTTGGACTATACTGTATCATCCATCTTTTCCCCAAGACATATCTGAACTTGATCCAATCACCACATGTAATAAAGATCCCTTGACACCGTTCACCAAAGACAGATTGTTGTTAGTGATGGCATGCCTCCACTGTCTTCTTAGCTGCCATGATTCTGTGACGGCAAGTTTCCTCCCTATCTATTGATAAACATGAAATTTTACTGCAGACACATATCATCTACCATGGGTTCACCTCTAGAGAAAAATGTGGCTGTGAGTCAGGGAGAAGTTGTTGCGTATCAATCACAAGGAAGCTCCAGGGCATTTAAAAGTATGCGAAAGAAATGATGCTCCAAAAGACAAAAAGCTCCATGAAAGGCATTCTTTGGTAATCAGCAAGAGGTTTCTAACCAAAATGCTTGTCTGCTTGAATCATATACAGTTTTAAATCTCAGTGACAAGCAGGACAGAAAGCAACTAGAAAAGTGTAATATAATTTAATTTTTATATGGAGTACTTCATAAAAAATGGATTACAGAAGACTTTCAAGCTGCTTTTGCAGTAGTTTGTATTTTGACTATGTAATTGGCTTGCTTTACAAGGGAACTGTTGCAAATAGAAAAGCTGTGGCTTTGTTTCTGCTAACTGAATGATTTATTGTCTTCTGTAGATTGCTGTAATTTTTTCAGCATGCTTGTTTAGATTCCTGAAACTCCGATACAAACTGTGCCTGAAAGCAGCTGTTTATGTATCCCAGTGAGCTACAGACTTTTTAAAAAAGACATTAAATGTTATGAATGAACTTTCCCACATGAACTCTTAGACTGCAGGAACTGAAGACAATGCTATTTTTCTTTGGAAAGTTCACTTTCCCGTGCTTCTGCAGTAATGCCTCAGAAACAATCCCCTGACAGTTTCCCTTAGTTAGAAATACAGAGGCAGATGATTTCTAATTTACACCTTGTGGTCAAAATCTGACTCAGGTGAAGTGGAAGTTTTCAGAGACAATATTTTGACTGACAAAATCATAGGCTGAGATACTTCTGTCACCTGAAGAAATATTCTACTACCTCCACTACAGAACAATACAGGCTCACAGCTTGAAATGTGGGTGCACAACAGAGATAGTGTACAGCAACCTCTAGAAAATACTGCATATTGTGGTCGCAGGCATAGACCTGATGCTTTCTCTATTGCCCCATCTGCGCTGGTAGAAGTAACAATGCTTATGCATTTGCAGCGCTCATCAGTGACCACATTACAACACCTAAGATTTAACTATGATGACAGAGCAATTTCTTTCATAACCTGGGAGTCAACTACTACATCTGTGCACATCCATGACCACCACACTGCCCATCCCGTGTTAGACCACTGTGGGAAACCTCTGGACAGGAAGCCTAAATAGGCAGGAAGTATTGCCTCAGGAACAAACAGCACATTGCAAGGCTATTGAGGACAACACAAGGCAACATAATGCAGTGTCTCCCACATCAAAGCCGTTGATAAGATCCTGCAGAGCCAACACAACATAAGCACAATTAGGGATTGTGGGGGGGCAGTCAGTCCCACAATATAACAGCATTAAAACTCCTATGAGAATGTAGATGGCATTATCTGTCAGATTAGGTGTTTTAGTGTTGGTTAGTCACTATTGTTATAAATTATGCATCAGTCATGCCCTGCATGGACAAGATGTTTTCAGAGACAGCCGCGCTTCCAAATATTGACCTATCCACCTTGCTACAGCCAATCACAAACAGGTCTACATCTAATAGCTGAAGCTAACTCACATAAGACTGTTATGCAGAGGGCTTGATCGTAGCCAGTGCAAGCAAGCACCATGCGAGGCAAAAACCAGAAGACAGCACACACAGAGCCGACTCACCAGTAGGAGTGCTGTGGTGGAACTGCTTGTTATAACCTAAATTTTTAGGCAGATAGGAAAGAGCATGTTCAAGCTGCATGCTCTGGTTAGTGATTAACACATCGTCTCCTCAGACATTGTGGTGCTCTCTTACCCTGTTCCTTTTTAATCCTGAATGCTTGAGTATAAGAGATGGGACATGCAAGAAGGTCGCCTAGGGCTGAGGGCTTTGTGCTTCAGCAAAGCTCTGAGTTTGGTGTTAATTCCCCCATTTTCCCACTGACACAGACTTGCAAGGCAGCTGTAACACATACAGCTTGCTTCCTTGTAACAGTGTGCCATGAACTGGAGTTTCCACTAATGCCAAAACCCTTCCCTCTCCCGCAACTTGACAGGTCAATGTTTCCTAGGCCACCAGGCCCTGAATGCTTCCAACATCTGAAACTCAGCAGCACTTACAGGATCTTAGCGTGGGCTTTGGTGCTGGTCACCAGTGTTAGATACAGCTCATTCTCATAACGAGGGATGTCATCGCAGTAAACAGCTTCTCCACATGCTTGTTTGGCTGCTGAAACGTGCATCAGAGGCCGGCCCACCATATCTTCAACTGCCTGCCCCCTGGGCACTTCCTGGAGCAAAACACATGACTGACTACTACTGCTCATATCGCAGGGGACAGAAGCATTGATGGGAGAGCGAAAGGCACCATGAGACATTCTAGCGAGATGAGGAATGGGATGGGGGCTCAGCCCTGTGGGAAGGGAAGGTAAAACAAGATGGCGTGGCTACACAGAGCAGGCTGTAGAGAATGAAGTGAAAAGGATTCAGGTTTTGAAACTGCTATGGAAAAGAAAGGTTTGATGTGACAACTTGCATAAAAGGTTCAAGTTCTGAAGCTAGCTTCTACTCTCAAAGCTGAAGAGAACAGGTCATTAACAGAGAAATAAGGAAGATATATCCTGAATCCAAAGCCTGAGAGACACAAAGAAAGACAGGTTGTAACTAGGGAAAGCAGAAGGGCAATTTCAGTTTGGATATGAAAGTGGCTGCCTGAGGAAAGTGCTACCCACAGCAATTCTTATGAAGCTGTACATGTAAGGGCAATTTCAGTTTGGATATGAAAGTGGCTGCAGGATGCAATTCTTATGAAGCTGTACATGTGAGGAACAGTCTTGGGCAATGAGAGGAAAGAACAGTGTATCCTAAAGCAAGGAAGGGACTGAGACCCAAATACAACTCTCAGGAATGACATTATATAAGTTCATCTATGGCCCATACTCAGTGAGACAACGAGCAAAGAAGCACAGTTTGAGCTACAGAAAAGCCCAGGTCTACATCATGCAGATACTGCTACTTACTTGGAAGAGTTGGGCATTTGCAATGGGATCTTTGTGAAACAGCTCTGTAGCACTGATGTAGTTCGAGGGGACAGGCTCACACAGATTGTTCTGCCAGAGACATATTAAAGAACAATCATCTTCCCTGCCAGTCCCTTTCTCACGTTCCCCAGTAGCCCAGGATATTCTCCATCCTCCAGTGAAGATAATTCATCTTTTACTGGGTGAAAGGCAAACAGGGCTCGGGCTCTGTGCAAAGAATAGCCACAGACCCATGAGAGCAGTTGTAATGCAATGAAGGGGAGAAGTCCAGGAACCCTCTTGTGAACCCACAGATCAGCATCCTTCCACAGCAAGGTGGGGATGCCATAAGGAAGCAATGGGGAGATACACTAGTCACTCTCATGCAAGTAAGCGGTAGAGTAGCTCTGGCAGTTATTGCAACATGGAGTTGGTTATCAGGTACGTCTTTGCTTGAATCTGAACCCTCCCCATACCTTCCCCACCAACACAGCACAGAGATCCTCCTTCCCCAAATCTGCCTTCCCTAGCAGCACTCACAGTGCCATTGTGGTTCTTGCTCAGTTTCTGAAGGACTGTCAGGTAGAACTTGAAGAAGAAGCTGAGTGTGAGCGTACGTCGGAAATCCACCATCCCACCAGGCGCAGAAGGAGACAGATCCATCTCACCTGCCAGTAAGCGGCAGGCATCCTGCAGCAGCTTCTCGTTCCAGTCTCTGCAAGGGAACAAAGGTGACACAGAGCCCTTGCTCAGCCCTAAATATCACCAGGGCAGACTAACTCTTCTGACATGGCAGCCCCACAAGCTCTCAAGAAACAACCACCTGTTCTGTTTATAGTATTCCTGTCAACTTTGCTCCATCTTGGGGCTCATGTCATCTTTTCTAAAGATGTGGCAAAGCTATTAAATTATAAGAGCACAGATTTCTCAGTCCAGTTTGAAAGAAAATCAGTTTTGTAGGTCATACCCACATCTAGCTTCTGCCCACTTCAACAGATGAGTGAGTCTAGCAAGGAAAATGGCTCTCTGAATGAGAGATTGATATGGATCTTTGAGGGTAAGGAGCACCAGAGGAAGCAAGGCATCACTCAAAACACAGACTGCTGCAGAAGTATAGTTACACTTCTTCCCACTCTTGTTTTGTGTACCTTCAGAGACAATTTAGTGTATCTGAACTGCTCCTGTAAAAATCAGCACTGTTCCATTAGACACCCTTCCTATCACAGAAAAATTCCTACCTGCCAGTGAGCTGCTGGCAAGTTTTTAGTGCCAGGACAGTTGTAGGAGCCATTCCTCCATAGCTTAGTTTTATCTCCTCCACTCGGCTAGTGCCATCTTGGAACAGGACTCTCATCCCACAGGTCACAATAGCAATGTCATCCTCCCGACGGGAAGCCTGCTTGAAAGCTGAGAAGTATTCACCCTAGAAGACAGCAAAATATTTATTTTCTACCTTGGCATGCTTTGGAGCATAAATATGGACAAGCTATTAAGCTATCTCTACACAGATGTAGAGATTCCAGGGAACTGTATCTGGTTGATTCATCTTGCAGGGCCAAGCAGGACGTGTTTGTTCAGGCAGTGCTGTAGATTTTCACATGATTCAATGATTAATTCTAATGTATTAGATCAGTGGTTATCAGCCAACCTAGGACTGTGTGGGAAACGAGCTTTGACAGAGATCTGCTCGTACCTGTCACATTTTTTCCATATCTTGAGAGAAGAACCAGGACAGATATTTTGTACATAAACAAGTTTACAGTTCTTCAGCAACTTTTTATTTCTCCCAGGCTGCTAAGCTGGAAGCCTAATCAGTAAAACTCATATCCTAAGTCCCCTTCCTTTGGAAGTCTTTGAACTCTGCAAGAACTGAAATCAATAATCACAAATGTCTCACAGTTCTAGAATAGACCAGACTAATATAAGACAATTTCAATCTGTTACTGCAAATACAATTCTCAGCAACTATCCTGAATCTTCTGCTGGTCTCCACAGAGTGAGGAAATTCTTTTAAATGCACCAGCAACTACAACTCACGAAACTCAGCAGCTCTCCTATGAAGCGTGGCAGTAAATAAGAGATCAACACTCTACCAGAATACATCAAGTGATGGTGCCACCCTGGAGTCACAGCACAGTCAGATTTTTCCCTTGCCTGTCCTGCAGATGATGGCAAATTGCTGTTCATGCATCCTGCAGACTAAGAGAGGAATCAGATCCGATGTCTTTGCACAGCCCTTCTGGAGAGTTTTCTGCCAAATTTCTTCTCTAATAGCTTAGCCAAGTGACTCTGCACAGCACAGCAGTCTATGCCATTAATTATTTCTAATAAGAAGTGGACAGCAATTCTTTCATTATTGTAAAGAACAATTGCTCTATTGTTGGCAATGAGAACAGTTTCACAAGAGGCCCCTTTTGTGCATCGAGAACTTGTTACTGGAGATATAACTGAAGGGTGTGTTTCATTTCCTGAATTCAAGTAATTAGTGGGCAGCCAGCAGATAATAGCAGAGGAGCATCAATAGCATCCTCCCAATGAGGACATTATGCCACTCTGCTTGTTAAACCAATTAGCTTTCCAAGAGGGGAAAAAGCTTCTTCTCTTACTGCACACTTCAGAGAAGATTTCCAATAACATGATTGCAACAAGAGGGCAACATTTGCCTTCACTCCTCGCAAGACAGCTTAGTTTTCTTGGTACAGAGTCCTGTGGGAGAAAAGGCACTAGTTATTTTTCCTCACTAGGAGTGTAGGTAAGGTAACCACCACATTGGCTGCCTGTGTCTGCCCTAACTCTTGGTAAAACAACAGAGCATGTCCCCTCTAAACTATCACAGTGAAAGTTTCTAGGTGTTAGTTATTCTCACAGGAAAACCAAGCAACCTTTACTCTTGAGGGCTGCATATTAGGGATCTAGATTAGTCTCCCCTCCCGCACAAGATGCAACACCAGGTAGCAGCACATTAAGAAATCTGGCTCTAAAAGATTCATAGGCAATATTCACAACTGCAAAAACATTGTTTCCATGTCAGTTTTTTCAGTCCACCACTGTAGAATATAGAGATCAATGCTGGATGAAGGTTGGAGGATACTAATTTAAAGGATGAAGTAAGACTTAGTGACCGCTTTCTGTCTCTTCAGCAGGGCAAAAGTTGTGATACTATGAGCTCATGATGGCAATACTGAGCAAACAGTAGGTTAAGATTGTTTTCCAAAGATAGAAATATATAGGCGTTATGTTGTCAGGCTTTTTCTATTTGAAAACTAGTAAATGCCTATGTGATACAGAATACTATTATCATAAAAATTAAGTAACAGTGACAAACAGGATAGAGAAAGATGTATGCAAGGGAAAGGACATGAACAACCGATGGTCATTAAGTGAGTAATAACACAAGTGGTGCATAACACTTGTGAACATTATCTGGAGCACAAGGAATGTTTTTACAGTCCGGAAGAGAGAGAGTGTTGTTAAATAAAGGATATGTCCTGTTCTAGGAATGCCTTGTTACATACAAAAAGCTAAGCAGTTGTCTTTTCTGGAATCTGTTTACATTTTATCTTTAATTCAGTGAGCTGTTTCCTTTTCTAAAGACTGTCTTTACTCAGCTGCAATCTCCTTACAAGTATAGACTCAAAAATCTTCATTCCCTGAATATCTTAAATATCTGACACACAAACCAGCAGGAGAAAAACGTGTTACCTCCTCTCCCTTAACAGACTCTCTGTGATAAAGCCTACCCTGAGCTCAGTTTCCCGTGAATTGTGTGAACTGCTAAACTTTAGTCTAACTCTTTCTGTCTTACCCTTGGTGTGACAAGTTACATCAATGCAAGAGGTAACACCAGTCTTAAACAAACATAAACCAAAAAAATCGATCTAGCTGTGTGCTGACACAGACCTGCTTCCAGCTGTGAGGAAATCACAGTTCCAGAAGACTTTGCCTGCCACATGCCAGCACCTTCAGACATCCCCTGAAGAATTTTAGTTTCCCTAACTTTGTGTTTGTGAGCAAAGATCAGCCAAGAAACCATGAAGTAGAGAGTTCAAAAGTTGTTTTAGTTTTTCAGATCAATGAGCTGTGTATAACCTAGGGATGAAGCCACTGCCCTTCTGGTAAACATTTGTTTTGTGCAATTGCCATATGACTGTCACATGGATGGAGGAATATGGTGTTTTCCATTGACTATGTCAAGCGTGTTTCTAAATCTGGCAAAAAGCAATGCTTCCTGCAATTATCACAACAACAAAGAAGAATCACTTAGAAATAGATGGAAAACCAGCATAAATAACTGTGTTCCCTTAATAGTTAGATACAAAAATTGGAGAGGATAGACAAAGGATTTATTGGTTCTATCCGATAATATGATGCCATTTCAAGTAAATTAGTGTTTTCCATTTATAAAGAAAAGGTGTCACTACACTGTGAATCCTTGCACCTTAAAACCTGTAGCCTCAAGCCCTAACAAGGCAAATACCTTCACAGTCATAAAATTACAGTCTGATGTTCTCAGTCCTAAAGGGGAAAAAAAAAAAAAAAGTTTTACCTCTCAGACACTCTGAATCAGTTATGGTTCATGCAGCTACAGAAGAGAAGTGTTCATTGTTCTGTTTGAGGGAAGTTTTGTAAGCTCATCTGAAGTTGCAGGTTCATCTTGCCAAAATGCCCTAATAATCAGTCCTTGTGGTTTCAGCCTTGCTAGGCAATGATGCAGAAGCTTAACTTCCCTCTTATCCATACACACATTTTCCCATTTCTTTTCCCATTTCAGTTCACAGAAATGAAGCAGGAACCTCGGGAACCTTAACTTCAGTTCAGGAACTGCTATCATCTTTGCTGTACTATGCTGCAGACAAAACTTAGACCTCTGGGAACATCACTTTGTCAACTTTCATCATTACTGAATGCGCTCAGAAAGCTCCAGACAATAAAGTGAAATTTATGTTACTTGCACTAGAAAACTTCTTGGGTGTATCATACTTTATCACAGAGCTCCACTCCCCTTGCTTTTCAAAGAGAATATGTTGCTAGATTGTCACCAAATAATTTACTTGCTTCCTGGTCCACTTGGGACTACATAAGCATTTGGAGGTCAGTCACCACGGAAAAAAGTGCCTAACATTGAAAAGAACACTCAAATAGCAGCATTTTAGCTCCACAGGCATTGAAATCTTTTGCTACAAGCTTACCTTCTTGCTGTAAGGTATTTCAACAGAGAGAAGTATTTCTTCAGGCTTAACTATTGTCTTCCTGTATCCTGTGAAAAACTTCTCATCCATTGTGATAGTCCTTTTGCCCCCTGTTGAGCAAGGAGAGCTCAATGGTGGATGAATAAATAACTCAGATGAAGAACGGCAATAGTATGTGTGAAAGAGCCTTTAACCTACACAAATATCTTGATATATCAGTTTTCATTTTTCCACTCTTTCACCAAAACAGGAAAGATCTTCTGCTATTTGCTTTGGTCCTTATGGAATCTATGAAGCTTCTGCCTACATGTGAAGTTTTATTTGCACAGGAACTGATCAGAGAGACCCCTCTCCTCCTTTATCTAATTAAAGCTGAGCCTCCACGTGAACCAGTTCCCAACATCCCAATATAATTCTCTCTTTCCCCTTTCCTTAGCCTGCACACAAACCAGTACAAGTCACTGATCAGACAGTCCCCTTACTTCAAGGATCCTATTACAAAAAAATTCTTTGTAAGAGAAAATACAAATTGAGACATTTGGCTTTCTTCATAGAAAAAAACAAAACAAAACAAGTTTCAATCTTTACCTGAAAAATCCACAAGGATCAAAGTATGATAGTGACAGAAACAATGTCATGCCTATTGTTTTTCATTAACAGATACCTTCAGGCAGCTCTTCACAAGGATGTGTGTGTAAGTACATACACAGTACCAGAGATTCATTCTGGCACAGAAGTTCAAAATTCTTTAGGAAGCCAACCTTAGGCCTAGCCTTAGGACTTCAGCCTCAAAAAGGGGAAAACCCATGAAGACTTAGACTAAGCCTATTTTATGCAATGTTAACTTCCACTTTCAAGTTCTGACCTGACCTAACCTAACAATCCATGGCAGAGGACTGTTGGCTCTCCCACTCCCTTCAGTGTCACAAGGAAATGTAAGTAACTTACCATTTGATACCAGAGTCAGTTTGCTTCCACTTGCCATTAACACAGGATTTAAGTCAGAAATTGGGCTTGCTGTCATTATGTTCCCACCAAGAGCCTAGAGTGATAACATATGCATCAGATATATATAAAAAAACCTGAAGATACAGCCATAGCATCTTGTAATCCTGCATTACTCTGTATGCAGTGCACTAGAGGTTAGCTTTGCCTGAGTTTGCTTTGATAATTTTTTTTTGCTCATTCAGCAATTTTAGGCCTTTAATGAGGTGCGAAAATGTAAACCCCATGAAATCTGTTCTGTCCCAGTCACTACTAATGTTTGCCTGAAACAGTTTTAGGAACAGTCTTTGGGTAATGCATCAAAACTACCTTATGCTCAAACTATACATGCCCAACAATGCCAAAATTCAATCACTGTAGCTGCAATTAAGGGAAGATCCATGGAAGTATACATCATCTTTTCAGTAACATTCAGGAAGCCAAGTTTTTTTCGCTGCAATACACAGGTATGGCACAGTACCTTGTGGAACAAAATTCTGTGTTTGGTAGGTTGGTTCACCTGCTTGCTTGATACTTTTTTCTTTTAGTA